TGATATACCAGTTCTTGATATTTATGTAAGTATACACATTATGAACACTGTCTACTGTAATCCTTGTATTGGTTGTACTGTGTAGCTGGCTTGAGTTTTGTAGTCTCTTGATTTATGGATTTTTGTCTCTTTATTTTCCAGGGGCGTCAAAAGCAACAAAAGCGTACCTCAACCTTTTTTGAGTTCTGCCAGTCGGAGAAGTGTATACTATTGTGTACTGATGTAGCAGCACGTGGTCTGGATATACCTGAAGTTGATTGGATAATACAATATGACCCACCTGATGACCCCAAAGTACATTTAGTACATTTAATGATAATAATGCAACATTTATTATTTATATGTATTTATTCCAATAGGAGTACATTCATCGTGTTGGTAGGACAGCAAGAGCTGGTGCTAGAGGAAAGGCTTTATTGTTTCTTTTGCCTGAGGAGCTATCCTTTCTTTGCTACTTGAAACAAGCAAAGGTGAGCTCCAATAGTATCTCTATTGACTGCATTACAGTATGTGTATCAACATTATTATGTGTATCAACATGTATTATGTGTATCAACATGTACCTGTTATACAATGTACTACGTATACTGTATACATAATAGTGTGTGTGCTAATGAATGTGATACTCATCTTTACTCTATAGTAAGCTATTATTTGGCTGGCAAGAGTTCATTTTTCTAGAATTATAACTCTCCATGAATAACATTATAGAGAGATGGATTAAATGGATTAATTCTTAATTCATTATATTTCACTAATTCACAGTCTAATGTTGTGTTCGTTGTGTTTGTTATGTTGTCTGTAGGTTCCATTAAATGAATATGAATTTGCTCCTGGCAAGCTCAGTAACATACAAACACAAGTGAGACACATCAAACACACACAAACACACACACAGAGGGCAACCTCCCACAAAGCACATGCTAAGTGAGCCACAGGCAAACAGCATGAGCTTCATGAGCTGACAAGCACTACAATACAGTACATGGCATTTGGAGCAACTTTAAAAATTCATAGAAAATCAAATTTGAACGGAATCAGCTCAAACTTTCTACACAGCTTAAGTACATATATATGTATCAGAATAAATTATAAAAGTGGACAATTCTCTCCTTTTTCATTTTGGCAAAATTTGACCAATGACACTGTACTATAGTACAGGGACTTGGGCTCGATTTTGGAGCAACCTCAAAAATTCGTAAAAAATCTAATATTGATCGGAATCAGCTCAAACTTTCTACACAACCTGAAAACATGTATGTGTATTAGAAAAAATTATAAAAATTAAGAATTTTCTTCTTGTGATTTTTGTCAAAAATTCTCCTTTGCCCAATTTTTGAACAACTTGACAATCCACTGACACAAATCTACATAAGCACTATGCCAAAATCTTATGGGAAACCTCCATCATCTTTCATTATTTGTAAATATTATTTTTATATAGTTGGAGCACTTAATGGAAAAGAATTATTACCTACACAAGTCAGCGAGGGATGGCTATCGCTCCTACCTTCAAGCTTATGCTTCCCATTCACTCAAGAGTGTCTTTAATGTAGAGCAGTTGGACCTACAGAGAGTAGCCAAAGGATTTGGATTCTCAGTACCTCCCAGCGTCTCATTGAGTATCCATTAATAGCCAATATACCTAATGACTAGTTATTGATTTAATTTATAGTAGCAGTTTTATGTGGGGTAGTAGCTCTGTCCCTTTGTTGTCTAATGAAGCTTTACTATTCTTAATAATAATAATTACATGTACATGTACACTGCACAACATGTACATGTATACATGTAGTGTTTTCTACTTGTGTTTGTATTCATTCTTTAATAGTGTGACTAGCTGGTGTGTGTGTGTGTGTGTTGGAATATCCTGGTTATAGCATCAACACAAATACTTGATTGTTTGTGTTTGTACGTGCATGGGGTGATGTTTGTGTTTATATTTAGTAACTATGATGTTTTCGTTGATTAGGTATGTATGCATTTTAGGTGTGTGTTACTGTGTTTACTGACATAGAGGATGATCTGTTGAGCAAGCATACATGTACACCAATGACAGTACACTGTTACACTTATAGTATAATTATTTGTGTGAACAAGTTTGTGCAATTTCAATTTTTGTGATTTTTGACTGGTGAAGTATGACATGGGTAAGTTACTTTGATCAGTAATAGCCTTAAAAGGAAAGAAAAGATGTCGTATGATATTTTCATGTATGTATGTATGTAGATGTAATTAATGCTAAAGCATGTAAGCATTGGGTGCATTGTATATATTGAGTGAGAGTAACAAAAATTGATTGAATTATGATCCTTCCAGTGTGTTTGTGTGTGTGTGTGTGGTATTATCTTCATATACAAAATGTACTTTGTCAGTATTTTGCATTTTGGTGTTGTCATGACTTCCATTATTTTGTTTTCATGACAGCCCTATGGTTGTGTCTCGTA